ATTGGTCACTATCAGGGCAATTATAGTTTATATTTATGATAGCTTAACATGTTTTAAGCAACAATAATTATGAAACATTTTCCTGTAATTGCCCGCCATATCCGTCCACCAAGTACTTGAGGTCAACGTCAAGCCCAATACTGAGTAGAATGATCTCGTGTTATCAGGAAGAGATTAGAAGGATGTATTTCTGACCATTACAAGCGCCGAAGATCAATTTTGAGCCATATATTTAATAGGCTAAGATTATAAAGATGTATAGTAGATCCCTGATACATTCCCCCTTGAAGCGCCGGAAGTCAGCAATGACTCTAATAGTTGATAAACTGGTCACGTGTTTTCAGGTTAAGATTATAAAGATATATATTAGATCGCTGACATATTGGACCTTCAGGCGCCGGAAGTCGGTAATGAGCCTAAAAGTTGATAAACTGATCACGTGTTTTCAGGCTAAAATTATAAAAGGCTAATTTCTTATAACAGTAAATACAGGGAAATAAATCACAATTCCAAGGATAATTTCAGACAAATTTTCTCTAATTGATCTTATTACAGATGCCAATTTTCAATCCGTCAATATAGCATAGGTCAAAGGTCAAGGCCTGGGTCAATCGTGAACGAAAATTACAGTAATTATGTCGGTAAAATTGTTGTATTACAGAGTCTTGTGAGATAGATTGGATAACACCAGGCCGACTCGACCTAAGGCTCTCAATCGTCCATCTTTATAATGACATGCTATTACCCTCTTATATTTCTTAACATCATTAGGCTCTTTTTTTATATACGGTAGATTTGTAAAGGCCCCAAAGTTCGGAATATATTGACACTGAAAATGCTAATCGTTCATAATGTCAAGCTATTACGAACTTGAACGAACTTCTTCCTTGAAACTAGAAGACATTATGAAAAAGTTAATCGTCTATCAAATAACAAGTAATTCACTACCCACTGAACTATTCCACTGCCCTGAGCCTTGTCGAAAACATTATCATTCTGGCATCTCAACCTATGATGGACTCGAACCGAACCAGTGGCGAGGGGAAAGCCTCTCAGTCCCGAAAGGAAGTATTTCAGGCAAATATCTCTTAACTAGGTTGGAAATTCGGGCAATTTCAGATATCTCGCGCCTGTTTTCATGAAAAGAATGATGTTGAAATCATAATTTTAATAGAAATCGACAGACGACAGTACCAGAGACTGATAATGACATCTTATATTTGGGTCAAAATCCCCGGAAATGAAGTAATTAACAAAATTTATTATTTTCATGAGTTCAATTCATTCATCTACTTGCTATACAATAAAACATACAGACAAGTTTATTTATCTACTTCCGATTCTGCGTAACAATCATTATTACCGGAAGTTATCGATGGGATTGTTATTTTTAACGAATCCGGTTTCCTGTAAACAGAAATGGAAAACACTGTTTTAAGTGCACGAAAGATACACGTTTTTCTTATTAATAATGATTTTAAAATGGAAACTCTGAATTATAGTGGACATGAATTATAGTGGACATGAATTATGGTGGACATGAATTATAGTGGACATGAATTATGGTGGACATGAATTATGGTGGACATATATTCAAAGAACTCTCCGGTGATTTAGAAATAAAGCTTTTAGAATGTCACATATTTCTCAGAATTTCAAAAAATAAGTAAAGCGAGTTCTAATTAAACTAAAACCATAAAACCTTTCTAGACGGGAATTCAGGTCGACCTTTAGATTGGTGTAATCTAAGAGAAACTGCATTTTCGACGGGTGCTAAGATCTGGGAAAAAATTTGATCAATTACTAGCTTTGTTCGATCTTTACAGATGACGACCTAAAAATCGTCAGCGATCATCAGTAATTAAAGTTTCTAGCAATACAGTGAGGCTTAAATGAACAAACGGTTGTCGTGGGTTCTAATCTCCGCCGGCGAGTGAAAGTCTGGTGACCTGGAATAAGTTATCTTTCCGTCGACTTAGTTGTAAATGGGTACAGCTAATCCTAGACAGACCCTGAATTTGTCAAAGGATCAACTTGCAGGATTATCAGTGAAAAAAAGTTATTATCCTCGAAAATATTGGTTGTTTTTCTTTATCTTTCTGAATTTGTTAAATATTAAATTAAATATTGGAAAAAACTGATGTTCAAGATGTTACCCAACCCTGGAAGTGTTTTATATATTTATGAACAAGAGAAGAGAAACAAAACAAGGAAATTAACTATGAATTATTCACAGCATTGTATTTGTAAACCGGAGAGTTAATGGCCGCCTACAGCCTTCATTCAAGCGATGTATGAAGAATTATCAGCCGGAGTTTTTATAAAGTTGAGTAACAATTACTTTCTGATACTACCCTAGGGGGTGATACGAAATTAGAAGGCATCCTACCGCGAAAGAAAATGAATTAATTTGGAAATAATATGAAAGTTGCGACAGTTCAAGTTATCTTGATGATATATTGTGATAGATGATTGGTTGGGTACGATGACAGCAGGATTTCTGAATACTCGAAGCCCAATTCGTTTCACCAACTTTAAGTTTAATTTTCTTTGAAGTATGCCACATGGGATTGAAAGAATTTTCTCGTTATGTGTATCGGAGACATTGTTAGCATTGATTATTCCTATTTTCAGAAAGAAGTCTGAGGGTCTTGTAATTCCACTAATAAAAATAACCGTAGTTACCTCAGGGCCCTTGTATACTATTAGCAGTATCCTTTCTACCATCTGGTCCTGGGCCAAACCTCTTGGTAATGATTTTACAAGGATAACAACTCGGGTTCACAAGGATCCTGTCTACCAGCTGGTCCTCTACCAAACCTCTTGGTATTGATTTTACAAGGATAACAACTTAGGTTCTTGAGGATCCTTTCTACCAGCTGGTCCTCTGCCAAACCTCTTGGCATTGATTTTACAAGGATAACAACTTAGGTTCTTGAGGATCCTTTCTATCGGCTGGTCCTTGATCAAACCTCTTGGCATTGATTTTACAAGGATAACAACTTAGGTTCATGAGGATCCTTTCTATCAGCTGGTCCTTGATCAAACCTCTTGGCATTGATTTTACAAGGATAACAACTTAGGTTCACAAGGATCCTTTCTACCAGCTGGTCCTTTGTCAAACCCCTTGGTAATAATTTTACAAGGATAACAACTTAGATTCTTGAGGATCCTTTCTACCATCTGGTCCTTGGTCAAACCTCTTGGGATTGATTTTACAAGGATAACAACTTAGGTTCTTGAGGATCCTTTCTACCAACTGGTTCTTGACAAACCTCTTGGTAATAATTTTACAAGGATAACAACTTAGGTTCTTGAGGATCCTTTCTACCAGCTGGTCCTCGACCAAACCTCTTGGTAATAATTTTACAAGGGTAACAACTTAATTCGCAATGATCCATTCTACCAGCTGGTCCTCGACCAAACCTCTTGGTAATGATTTTACAAGGATAACAACTTAGGTTAGTGAGGATCGTTTCTACCAGCTGGTCCTCGACCGAACCTCTTGGTAATGATTTTACAAGGATAACAACTTAGGTTAGTGAGGATCGTTTCTACCAGCTGGTCCTCGACCAAACCTCTTGGTAATAATTTTACAAGGATAACAACTTAGGTTCTTGAGGATCCTTTCTACCAGCTGGTTCTTGACAAACCTCTTGGAAATAATTTTACAAGGATAACAACTTAATTCGCAATGATCCTTTCTACCAGATGGCCCTTGGTCAAACCTCTTGGTATTGATTTTACAAGGGTAACAACTTAGGTTAGTGAGGATCGTTTCTACCAGATGGTCCTGGGCCAAACCTCTTCGTAATTATTGTACAAGGGTAACAATTAGGTTAGTGAGGATCGTTTCTACCAGATGGTCTTTGACCAAACCTCTTGGTAACAACTTGGGTTCTTGAGGATCCTTTCTTCCAGCTGGTTTCTGACAAAAACTCTTGATAATAATTTTACAAAGGTAACCCTTTGGTATTGATTCTACAAGGATAACAACTTAGGTTCTTGAAGATCCTTTCTACCACATGGTCCTGGGCCAAACCTTTTGGTATTGATTGTACAAGGGTTCGTGAGGATCGTTTCTACCAGCTGTTCCGCTCGAAAATGATTTAACAAGGATAATAATGTAGACTCTCTAGCGTCCTGTATATCAAATTACCCAATGACAGTATTGGAGTGGATCAGACGGTATAATACCCTGTGCGCTACTTACTATACATCAAAATGTGTGGACTGGACAAAATCTTTTTTTTTAAATCTATTATTCAAATAAATCTTATGTACTGTATATAGTTTTATACAAGTATAGTTTAGTTTAGGTTTGATCTGAACATACAGAGAATAAAATGAATATATGTTCTGTACAGCAAAAGAAAGGATAAGATAGGTGGGAGATAAAGAAGTAGAAAAAGGATGAGAAGATATATAGAGTGTAGAGAGTTTGATCCTAATTTTGCGTAATTTGGGCTGTACTAAAGCTGAAATAAGGGTATTATGTCACTATTTCGTACACTATACAGTACAGTTGCGTTTCTAATCGGAGCTTGTCTGGTTTTTCAAACTCCCAACCTTAACTTTCGAATTTATTTTCATAGAATTCTTAAATGCCTCGTATTAAGAGACCATTCGGCATTTCTTTCCCACCCACCCCTCCCGTTGATTTCCAAACTTTCGAATTTATTTTCATTAAAATCTAAAATACTATGAGACCCTTGGGATTTTAAGGCTCCTACCTATACCACCCCGTCCCCCCACGCTCCTGTAATATTAATAATCATATAATAATAATATTACGATTGGTGAATATCTACTCTTGGTAATATAGATTGCCAATTAAACATGCCGATATCACATCCAAAATCACGTCTGAGGAATGGATAGGTCCAGAGCTGTCGAGCTAGGTATTAAACAGCTCAAGATGTAGCTTTTTTTTCATTCCATTTTCTATTAAAAATTGCTGATTAAAGTATTTTAATTTTAATATTTTTTATATTTTTCAGACTGTTCGAAAGTCACCCGGATATAAAACATGCCTTCGTGTCGTTTCGTGGTCTACAACCCAAGGAATTGAACAATAGCTCTGTATTGCGAGCTCATGCATTACGTGTGATGACCACAGTTGATAAGTGCCTGTTTAGATTTGATAATTTAGAGAAGGTGGAAGAACTGATGAAGTCTCTGGGATGTCGACATGGTCAAAGTTATCAGGTTGTACACCAACATTTAGATGTAAGTATACTAATTATACTAATATACTAAAATTCACGTGTGTTTTGGATACTATAATGATTACCAGGCCATAAGGACTATATCATCCTGTCTAAAGCTGTGGGCACACGAGCGGTCTTGGTCGGAGATTTTTGTCCCTGACTCGAATCTTTAGTAAAAGGCCGTGCTTCCACGTCACGATTATCGTGTCGCCGACAGGATTCATAATGTCAAACAAGTTTGATAATTGTCGACATCGACAAGGTGGAAAACGGCCGACTTGAGTTTTCCTCATGTGCCCGTGCCAGTCGTTGAAACCGAAGACAAGACTCTAATCGGCGACAAAAGTCTCCTACCAAGATCGCTCGTGTGCCCGCACCTTAACGGTATCCTGCTTTCAGATATGTCTCGGACCACAGAGCCGGGTATATATGTTCAGATAATAGAAACGCGTCTTATGCGTGGTGCAGTATTTCATATCTACTCTGTGTACCACCAGTAAGTCATTCAAAGGTTTCATCTCATTCGTCGCATTTGACACACTAATATTGAGAAATTGGCTGACTACAAATGCCATTTTACTAAATGATGGCAGATTTCTACCACTTAGTTGGCAGTTTCGTTTTAGAAATTAGAAAACGAGAAAAATGATGACAATTAGCGTAATTGCGCTTTTTGCTAGAAAGCAGAAAACGAGCAACTGTTTGCTCCTGGATTTATCTGTTATAAGCACGCAAAGATCCGTCCACCTTAAAGGGATTATAAAGAGGTTTTCTAAATTCTTTATGTGGATCGGGGACACGGTTAACATCAATTTACACCATTCCAATTTTCAATCAGACGTCTGTGGTTCCTGCAATTATACTAAAACTAAATGTTTGATGACGTCAAAGCGAAGGGTCGTATGTGATATATCATATTAGTGACGTCATCAAACACTTAGTTTGATGCTATGAGTTTTGTTAACATAAATAATGTAGAAAACCACTTTACATGATGTTATTACCTGTGATATTGATGTTATTACCTGTGATATTGATGTTATTACCTGTGATATTGATGTTATTACCTGTGATATTACCTGTGATATTGATGTTATTACCTGTGATATTGATGTTATTACCTGTGATATTGATGTTATTACCTGTGATATTGATGTTATTACCTGTGATATTGATGTTATTACCTGTGATATTGATGTTATTACCTGTGATATTTTAATACTCTTCTCTTGTCTATTTCAGTTGATGGCCCCCCATTTTAATTATGCAATCAAACACAATTTAAAGGATCAATGGTCGCCGGAATTAGAAAGCGCTTGGGACAAACTATTCAAACTAATGATACACTATATGAAAAGCGGTATGACATGATAGAAAAAAGACATGTCTACAAACTTCTAGATAAGCAATGTTACCATGCCTTATAGATCACTGTGCATTTAAAAACATAGACCTAGACATTGGATTATAGTGCGTTACTCCAGCCTTTTTAGACTCTGACAGCCAGACTTATTCTGTCTACGACGAGGATAGTTTTCTTCGCTATGCATAGACAAAGTTGGACTGGATAACTTTAGGCTCTAGTGCAGCTAAATTGAAAACATAATAGTATAGTTGCGACGTTCAATAAATACCAATACATAAGGATCGAACTTTGTGCAGTGAAGGTTTCGTATAGGACCAAATTGACTGGCACCAACAATCCAGCAATAGAAGGCAGTGTGGCATATGTGGTGTATTTGAGAGTTAATTAAAGGGACGGTTAAAGAAGGTGTAGTACGTATGTGTCGTGTAGTGTATATAGAGCAATCGTTGCCGAAAAAGTAAAAAAAAGGGGGCAAAGTGACTGAATGTTTTGTGAGATGTTTAAAAAGAAAAGAGGAAAAACCTAAATAAATAAAAACAGTATTATGAATATACTATAGTAAGTTTTGTAAGATGTTGAATGTGAATAGTGGAAATACTTGAACTACCAGTTTCCTGTATTACTGGAAAATATCAATTTACAGAATAACAGTATATTATATTTTCTCTAGTAATTTTGTTGGTTTAGTGAGTTATAAATGTGTCGTGCGTTATGATATGGCTAATCGAAAGTAGACTTACGGGAAGTAAAAATGATGAAACTACCGGAAGTGAAAAGGATGAAATTACCGGAAGTTGAAATATTGAAATTATCCAAAGTTGAAAATGGTGAAATTACCGGAATTTGACATGATTAGCTTACCGGAAGTATAAATATTGAAATTACCGGAAGTAGATATGATGAAATAACCGAACTTGGAAGTTCAGACAATACCGGAAGTGGACATTATGGCATAAGCGGAAGTGGAGTGCTGTCGCGAAGGGCTTCGTGATAATATCGGAATCTCATATTGTGAAGGTATTTGTGATAGCGAGGCGAGTTTTATAGATGTTGAAGAAATAGTCTACCGGCTGTGAACATTATAAGCGATCTATGGATTTAAACGTTGCGAGGACAAATAAGTGCGTGACCCAGAATAGACCGCGTGACGAGTAGACGATTTTACAGTGTATATTTTATGCCCTATGAAATAAGCATGTAAAGATGTTTTGGAATTATTATACGCAGAATTAAATATGCAAGGCGGTGTTTACTTGTTGTTTATATATACGGTGCATCTATAAGAAAATAAAATAATTTAAACTTAAATATAGGTGTGTGGGTCCGCGTTAGCATCACAGGCGTAATGACTAAAACATTTAGCGTCATTCGTCTCACAAACTAGATACAGAAAAATTAACTACTGCTTATTTTCAAACAAATTGTAATTATGTGACAAAACTTCTTGTAAAAATGATTGTTTTTCAGATATAATAAAAAGCCGTGCAAGCAAAACAATTCCAGTGACCAAAATAATTCGTCTAAAGCATGAACAAATCGGGAGCGATATGGTTTAGTAGTGGATTCCTCAAGTACAATCCGGTGTAAAATGAACCAATAATAGGATTGATAAATGGTATGGTTTTACAACTGTTTATTATCGTCTGTCACATACAATAGAGATACAACTGTGAAAACAAGAAATGAATATGGATATCAAACCACTGGTAATGTCTACAGGTCGACCATGCCGCTGTAGCAAAATCTTAGAGCACTGTGGTTCCATCGAGTGTTAGAGACTGGGAGAATTTGATATTTCGCTGTATTTGGTCAACCCGAGTGCACAAAATACAGTTGCCGTCAATCGCTATCAGTTGTTAATGTTCTATTTCTGTCAAACACTATCCGTTATAAAGAGTAGGATAGAGCTTGTTCAGATTGGTACAGTACCGAACTATTTATTCCATTCTCTCTAGAAAGTAAATTATCACCACCAAGATGAAGGCTTAAATACTCGAGAAGTTTATTATTTGTATCTATTAGGTTTTTTTAGTTTATATCTAGCCTTCGAGTTATCAACGAATAAAGACCGAGATTAAGTTGTAAAAAGAATGATTTTGTACAGAAAGGTTTGGTATAAACTGCCCCTTAACCAGTATTAAACACTAACGTATCACACGTTGGGTAGATTTGATATTACTGAAAGCAGGTTACAGTAGGTTATTCAGAATATACCAAAACTTACAAATCAGACATAGATGATAGATCTGACATTTTTACGCACCCCGAATGTTCCTTTCTGAACGTCATTAGCTCTACCTACCACTTGAAAAGGGAAGGTGTGGGGGTACAAATAGGGGGCAGACTGACCCTATAGGGGGACATTTGTCGAGGCTGATTTCAATATGCAGCAACTCTGTGGAGGCAAGCGTCTCATGGTACGTCTGAGAGAGTTTTGTTACAAATAAAGTGGGGTACAATTGCAGGTGTAAGCCATTTTACTAGGGGCGCATATGCCCTCTCTGCACCCCCGCTGATGCCGCCAATGTATGAATATTGTGAATGAATGTGAAATGAATGTGTGATTTGAAAGATGGAACAAGTTCTGTGTTTATAATTACTCTATATAAGTTAGGTTGTATCGTCTAGGGAATGGGAATGGGAGGGCAATAGGTCAGTTTACACCAACACCTGGTATTATTATTATTATTATTAGTATTAGTATTTCTATATTGAACTGTAAATTATGTAATAAAGTTTCTATACTTAGATTTTTTCTAAATCTTAATTTATTTGTCTGAGCTCTGATATACAGTCCTCGAAAAGAACCTGTTAATATTGATTGAAGTAGATATCAAAGGTCTTAAAATTCTCATAATTAATGGAAACTTCATAATTCCCGATCCCAGCGTTTCTGTAGTATGATGACATGATATTTCAAATTGCACAAAATTAAAAGAAAAGCTTTAAAACGTCTGGGATTGATCAAACCGGTAGAACCTTTTTTACCTCATGCCCTCGCCTCAACTAACCTTTCCTCTATTCTCACTCTCATGGTACACCTAGCAATATTTTGGGTGTGGTCAGCCTGGCAGGTATCACTTTCAAGAACGCGTGATGCCCCTCTTCAACGTAACTATATTATACCACCGTCACTCAGAGAGCTGACCAAGCTTATTGGAGTTACCTCCCATACCCTGTGCACAGTGTAGAACAGTGTAGCGAAAATCAAAGTAATTGCAAATACCAATATATGGCAGGTGTTCCCGCAAAGAGTCGCAGTGTGATTGAGAACAGGTGATCCACAAAGAGTCGCAGGGTGATTGAGAACTGGTGATCCACAAAGAGTCGCAGGGTGATTGAGAACAGGTGATCCACAAAGAGTCGCAGGGTGATTGAGAACTGGTGATCCACAAAGAGTCGCAGGGTGATTGAGAACAGGTGATCCACAAAGGGTCCAGGGTGATTGAGAACTGGTGATCCACAAAGAGTCGCAGGGTGATTGAGAACAGGTGATCCACAAAGTGTCCAGGGTGATTGAGAACTGGTGATCCACAAAGAGTCGCAAGGTGATTGAGAACTGGTGATCCACAAAGAGTCGCAGGGTGATTGAGAACTGGTGATCCACAAAGAGTCGCAAGGTGATTGAGAACTGGTGATCCACAAAGAGTCGCAAGGTGATTGAGAACTGGTGATCCACAAAGAGTCGCAGTGTGATTGAGAACTGGTGATCCACAAAGAGTCGCAAGGTGATTGAGAACTGGTGATCCACAAAGAGTCGCAGTGTGATTGAGAACTGGTGATCCACAAAGAGTCGCAAGGTGATTGAGAACTGGTGATCCACAAAGAGTCGCAGTGTGATTGAGAACTGGTGATCCACAAAGAGTCGCAGTGTGATTGAGAACTGGTGATCCACAAAGAGTCGCAGTGTGATTGAGAACTGGTGATCCACAAAGAGTCGCAAGGTGGGTGACAACATGACATAACATCATATTTATAGTTAATACAAAATGAAGAATTAAACCTCACTTTTTACTTTATCGTCGTAAGTTGCAGAAAAGCACAAGAAGTTTCAGAATAGGTACCATCCCCTTTACCTCCCGGAAATCCAACGGTTAGTATATAATGGATAAAATAGATATTGGCCAATTAGTTTCACTTATCTAACGAGAAAGTTTTTTATTAATCTGTCTGATTGGCATGGAATATCCCAGAATAGGTGCTATACGCCATATCGTCATTGATATTCAACTCAGTTATATAAGGGAACTATTATATAATAAGTATATATTAGGAATTAAGTAAGAATCTGAGTAGATATATTTCACTCCACTGTCTATAAGATTATCAACCAGTAAGATTTCCAGACGTGATAGATTTAATCATTATCATCAGTGGAATTAAAGATTATTCTGTCTCAAACAATATTAAAATCTCTTCCTGATACTTACTAATATTCTAAATATAGCTAATATAGCTCTGAATATTATGAATTCCTACAGATATCGTGTCTAACTAATCAGCAGATTATGAAGGTTGTTTTTTGTTTTGTCAGATTGTGAAGTATTGTGTCAGGATCATTATAATTCGAAGCCGAGAGAAAATCAACACACAGAAACCTGACTCCAATCCAAAATTTAATGCCCAAAGGTCCAGGTTGACGATGCGTCGTGTTTAAATCGCCGGTACACCTTAAAGCCTTACAAATACCCTTCATTGAGCATATAAAATGGAAACTGGTCGAATTTTAGCACCGTAGGCCGTAAATTATTTTAAGTTATGGAGATGTCGGGGATTTGAGGGTCGTCTGGCCTCTCTTCTGAAGATGAGAATTACATGGTGAAGGAATCCTAATTTTGATAAATGTGAATGTTTGTTATGTGTTTTGATTAAAGGGTCAGATGCGCCATTTTTATGCGTTGATTTGAATCTTGAATATATGTAAATAGTCTTTAGAAGAACTAGAAATTACGAAAATGGCATAATCCCTTAAAAAATACCTCTTACTAGGATTTCTATA